ATGAACAGAGATGGTAACTCTTGCCTTACCAGCTTGTTGGAATTCTATGAAACAGGAGAGGGAGGGCTGGTTGAATTACTTTTTTTTTTTTTCCGGCTGCAAGAAGGCATATGACACAATACTTCATGTGAGACTGGGGTAAAAACTTCAGTAGTAGACAGGAATAACAAGGAGCCTACTCCAGTTGATCAAAAAGTACCTAAGAGGAAGGAGACAAAGAATGATTGTCCAGGAAGAGATGCTAGAATGGGGGAGTATAACATGCAGAGTTCCACAAGGATTGGTATTAAGATTGGTACTGTGTTTCTGGTTATGTGAATATTCCAGATGGGATTGAGTCAGATGCATTTCTGTTTGCTAATGATGCAGAACTGATTAGAAGAATCAAAACAGACTAGGACAGGAAAAGGCTGCAAATAAATCTGGACAAACAGCAGGATTGGTCAGATAAGTGGTTGCTTGACTTAAACTTTGGTAAATGCAAGGTCATGAAGATTGGGGAAGAGGACAGAAAATTGACAAGGTGTATCATCTTGGGGGACAGAGTTACAGACCTCACTCAAAGAGAAAGACCGAGGGGTGAGCCATAGTACATAACATTTAGCCAGAGGTTTACGTCATCTGAATAACCTCTACAGATAGTGCTTTCCTAGCAAATCTTAGTGTGGACTTGGGAATTTTAAGGAAGAGTCTTTTTGAGCACTATACAACATTTGTCAGGCCCATCATGAAGTATGCAAGTAGTTAAGTGACATGAACTATGAGGAGAGATTATTGGAATTGAATCTAAGAACATTGAGGGATAGAAGAACCAAGGGAGATACAACATCATCATTCAAAATACTCAGGGGACCTGTTAAGGTAGACAGAGATAGGCTGTTATAGAAGCAAGAAACAGGAACTCAGGGGCACAGCTGGAAGTTAGACACTGAGCCACAGGGATTTCAGGAAGCATTTATTCAGTCTCAGTGTGATCAGAAAGTGGAATGGTTTCAGTGAAGAAATGATGGGAACAGGCTTCATACATAACTTTAAGAGCAGGTACAATAGGGCCTACAAGGCTAGGAGAGAGTGAATCTGGCAAGTAGCAAGTTAAGAGGTGTAACCAGGAGTTAAAACTTGACCCTTGCAGTATGATACATTTTTATTTAGTAGTCATAGTTATGGTATTAGTGATTTGCTATTTGTAATGACCTCAAGGTATATATATAATCCACACAAATATCAAGATCCCACTGTATAACACAGTAAAGAAGTTTGCCAAAACAGAAATGAATCAGAAGAAATCAGATAAACTTTTGATTGACATCACCTTAGTCCACCACTCTCAATTAGTCCTTCGACCTGTGTCAGAATGGATGCTTCTTTGTAGATCTTGTAAGTTTTTTCCATCATCCATTCTCTCTCTCTCTCCTAGTAAAGTAACCCTCCACTACATGAAACATCATGAATCCTTAAAAAGAAAAATTGTCTCTTGTATCATAATTTTTCTTTTGTATGTAAAACCATTATTTGACTTTGGTGTAATAGATGTAAGGAGTGCCTCTTGTGATGCAATCACACTATTTTATTGGTCCGAAAATAAATTGTCATTGGTCATTATTGTCTAACAAAATGAAATATTTTTTGTATTTCTAGTATATGTGTGTTAATACTGTTTCTTGTATTATTGTTTGCTTTCTACATATAATTGCCACATTTTATGACCCAAAAATTCTAATTTTCTTCTTAGTAATCTATGTAATTACCAAATCATATTTTTCAGGCTGCACATGTTATTATTACAACACCTGAGAAATGGGATGGAATTTCACGATCTTGGCAAACAAGAAATTATGTTACAAAAGTTTCACTGATTATCATAGATGAAATCCATTTGCTTGGTAAGATATCTTGTCTGTTATTTTCTTTGTGTAGATAGTCATAATCATATTCTGCAGTGTGCTCTGTCAGAACTTGCAATCTTTTCTGATACTTTTGTTGACATTACTGCTAGGTTGTGCTCACCCTTTCATGACATGCAGTAATTGAGCTTAGAATCTTGATCTCCATCTTTTCTTGGTCAGTCCATTATACATATCTTTAACCATTAAATTTGTAGTGACATGTATACAGTACATCCCCAACTTGTGATGTATGCAGTGATTAAATGATGTTTAATACTATTTGTAGGCAAAAATGAAGAGTACTTAATTTAAAATTTTACGTACATTTTCTTAGATTAACCCTTAAATGGTCCAAACGTATATATACGTTTTTTCAACATCTGAAAGTATGTAAAAAATGTAGATCTTTTTTTTTTTGGTTTTACATTTGAAAACGTGTAAAAAAACTTTTATCTAAATTTTTTTTTTGTTACATTTGAAAATATGTAAAAAAAGTAGATCTACTTTTGTAGCACTACGAATTTGAACGCCGATTTGTTTGGACCGTTTAAGGGTTAAAAAAACAAAAGAAGTTAGATACAAAATATTATGGCTCAAGAAAGAATCTCAGGTTGTAATATGGGCATCTTGGCAAAATAGCTGTTGAGTTCCAAACAGTTTATTTATTAACAATTTTCGATAATCGTTAACATTGTAAGTGAGGGACCTACTGTATGCATCTTACTAGATCTGAAGAATATATGTGCAAAATCTCATTGCACACTTAAATTCCCTTTGAGGTGCCATTTTGTCCCTTGTGACCTTGTTCCTCACAAAGCATTTAGGGCCCATGCAGTGCATCATGGGTAACATTACTTAATTTTTTTTTTTTAACAAACCAGCCATCTCAAACCAAAGCAGGGTGACCCAAAAAAGAAATACTTTCACCATCATTCAACACTTTCACCATCATTCACACACAATTACTGTCTTTGGAGAGGTTCCCAGATATGACAGCTTAGATGTTACTCCAAACAGCCAGTATCCCAAACCCCTCCTTTAAAGTGCACGCATTTCACTTCCCACCTCCAGGACTCGAGTCCAGCTAAACCGGTTTACCTGAATCCCTTCATAAAATATTACCCTGTTCACACTCCAACAGCTCGTCAGATACCAAAAACCATTCATCTCCACTCCTATCTAACATTCTCACACATGCCTGCTGCATGTCCAGGCCCCTTGCACACTAAACCTCTTTTACCCCACTTTCCTCCATCCTTTCCTAGGATGATTTCTACCCCTTCTCCCCTCCACTACAGATATACAGTGGACCCTCAACCAACGATATTAATCCATTCCAGAGAGCTTGTCGTTAGTTGAATTTATTGTTAGTCGAATTATTTTCCCCCTAAGAAATAATGGAAATGCATTTAATCCGTTCCAGACACCCAAAAGTATGAAAAAAAAAAAAATTCACATGAAATATACATTTTCCTACACAGAAAAAGGATACATGTACAATAAATACACATACTGTACTAAATGAAGAATAAGTGACACTTACCTTTATTGAAGATGTAGTGATGAGTGATGAGATGGAAGGAAGAGAGATGGAAGTGTATTATGTTTTGGATGGGGAATCCCCTTCCATAAGGATTTTAGGTAGCATGTCCTTTTCCGGGCTTACTTCCCTTCTTCTTTTAATGCCACTGGGAACAACTTGAGAGTCACTGGACCTCTGTCACACCAAAAATCTTAACATAGAGCTCTGTACCTTGCGTTCCTCTAAGATTTTCCTTAAATGGGCCACAACATTGTCATTGTAAAAGTCACCAGCACAGCTTGTAATAGCTGTGTCAGGATGATTTTCATCCATAAAGGTTTGCACGTCAATCCACTTTGCACAAATTTCCTTATTCTTTGAAAAAGGCAACTTCCTCCATTTCTCTCTCCCCTTCTCTGAAACAGTTTCCTCAGTTGTGTCCTCTTGCTGTTGCAGATGCTCTTGCACTTCAGTGGTTAGTTCTTCATCATCGTCCTCCACTAACTCTTCCACATCCTCCCCACTAACCTCCAACCCCAGGAACTTCCCTAATGCCACAATAGATTCTACAACTTCTCAAGGTTAGCCCCAAACCTTCAAAATCCCTCTTTTCTACACATTCTGGCCACAATTTCCTCCAAGCAGAGTTCAAGGTCCTGTTAGTCACTCCCCTCCAAGTATTACCTATGAGGTTTGTGCAATTGAGGATACTAAAGTAATCTTTTTCAAAAGTCTTTTGGGGTCATTTGAGTGTCTGAGGTCACATCAAAGCACTTATGAAACATTGCTTTGGTGTACAGTTTTTTGAAAATTGAAATGACCTGCTGGTCCATGGGTTGGAGGAGAGGAGTGGTATTAGGAGGCAAAAACTTCAGAGTTATGAAACTCAAGTCCCCCAAAATTCGCTCTGGCAACTCTGAAGGATGAGCAGGAGCATTGTCTAATACCAGGAGGCACTTCAGGTCCAATTTATTTTCCAGGAGGTAATTTTTCACAGTAGGGCCAAACACATGATAAAACCAGTCATAGAAAATGTCCCTAGTGACCCATGCCTTACTGTTTGCCCTCCACATCACACACAAATTAACCTTGACGACATTGTTTTTCTTGAAAACACTGCGAGTTTCAGAGTGATACACGAGTAGAGGTTTCACTTTGCAATCCCCACTAGCATTACTACACAACACTAAAGTAACCCTGTCCTTCATAGGCTTGTTTCCTGGGAGTGCTTTTTCCTCCTGTGTAATGTAGGCCCTGTTTGGCATTTTCTTCCAAAACGAGCCTGTTTCGTCACAATTAAACACTTGCTGGCGGTTTTAATCCTTCAGCCTATATGTACTTGAATTCCTGCACATATTTTTCAGCCGCTTTTTGGTCTGAACTGGCAGTCTCACCATGCCTTACCACACTGTGTATGCCACTACGATTCTTAACCCTTTCAGGGTCCAAGGCCAAAATCTGAAGTGGTGCCCCAGTGTCCAAGAAATTTTGAAAAAAAAAAAAAAAAAAAAAAAGTTTCTTACAGAATTAACCCTTTGACTGTTTCAGGCCCCTCTCTGAAACTGTCATTCTATGTCGCTCAATTTTTGAAAAAAAAAAAAATTTCTTATGAATGATAGAGAATCTTTTCCCGATGGTAATGACACCAAAAGTTCGAAATTTGGTAGAAAACTCATGGAATTATGCTCCCGCGAAGTTAGCGGTCTCGGCAACATATGCGTATCGGCGATTTCGCCGACTTTGAGTCCTATTTTCAGCCAATTCCATTGTTCCAGTTGACCAAACTCATAGCTATTTCTTTAGAACTCCATTTTGTCTATCAGCTGAGTACAAGAAACCTCCCATTTACTAATTTGGACTACCCAATATGGTGGTCCGAAATTGGCAATTTGGCCAATTTCACGCAAACTAAAAAAGATGCCAATTTCAAAATAGGGTCCAGAATAAACAAGGTAGACATTCCTGGCACTAAAATAACATATGCTCTGCTCATTTGAGCATACATATAGAGGTACAAAAAAAATACAGATAAGAGCAGCATGCTAAAGCCACTTATACTATGCATAGCATTTCAGGCTGGCTTAAAATTAACTAAGCAATGATGAAATCAGTGATAATACATTATTGTAAACAGATAACTATAAGCACAAATGAGTATTACAAAGACAGGTCATATGGTTGCATGCATTGTTGTACATTCAGTCGTATGGAGTATTTTGTTAGGTAGTGTATTTAAAAAATAATAAAGTTAGATTGGGTTTTAGGTTTAACATTCATGTGATATAATTGTGAGAAACATTTAAGATATACAATTTATAAGGTTCAGTTATTCAGTATTTATTTGGTTTTGGGTGAGTAAGTGATCTTTGAGAAGAGACTTGAATTTATAAACAGGTAGTGTTTCTTTTATATTTACAGGTAATGAATTCCAGATTTTAGGGCCTTTTATGTGCATTGAGTTTTTGCATAGCGTGAGATGGACACGAGGAACATCAAAGAGTGATCTGTGCCTTGTGTTATGGTCATGTGTTCTGTTGAGGTTGGCAAGGAGATGTTTGAGGGGAGGGTTAATATCAGAGTTAAGTGTTCTATGTATGTAATAGGTGCAGTAATAAGTATGGATGTTTTGTATGGTGAGTAGGTTTAGTGTATTGAATATTGGAGTGTGCTGTCTGTAGTGAGAATTTGTTATCATTCTAACTGCAGCCTTTTGTTGGGTAATTAGTGGTCTGAGATGGTTAATTGTGTTGTAGGGTAGTGGTCTGTGGTATTATCTGTAATTATGCCTGATTTTAAAGGGGATATGGTGTTGGTCCAGATGTGGTCAAGTAGGGAAACACTAGTCTCTGTAACTCTTGTAGGTTTTGTTACTGTTGGTAGCAACATGCAGTTACTCATTGTGTTTGTGAATTCAGTAACGTGTGGGTCCTGGTCTTGCAGGAGATTTATACTGAAGTCACCTGAGAGTAGTAAGTGATCTTTGTTCATGCGTGCATCAGTTATCATACTTCCTAGGTTTTGACTAAATGGCTAATGTTTGATTGTGGACTCTGTAGATGTTTATCACTGTGAGAGGTTTTTGTAGGCATTTGGATTTGAATTTGGCTATTTATATTTCCCATGTTCATCCCTTGTGAAAGTATTAGTGATACATTCTAGTTGGTCTGAGTTAGTATTGGCTGTGCCACCCCTTGTTGGTTGGCCTACAGTTGTGTATGGCTGTGAAACCCAGGAATGGCATAGACATCTGTACTATCAGGCTTTAGCCAGGTTTCAGTTGTGTAATGATGGATATTGGCATGTAAGGAATTTGTAATGCTATGAGGTCATCGTAATGCTTGCTTAAAGATCTGATATTTTTAGTTAAAGATAGTTATGTTGTTGTTGGCTCTGAGAAAGTGCCTTTGATTGTTCTGCAGTGTAGTAATTACAGTAACTGTTTGATTCATTTAAGTCATTAAATAAGGGGTTTGGG